CCAATCCAATCTATAAATTAAGTGACCCATTTAAAAAATGTGTGTGTATACACAGTGATATTAGGTTATTATTATATATTGATTTTTGTATTTTAAAAATATTTTTGAAAAATTTAATTTTTTTATTTTTTTATATTAAATTAATATTTTTTTAGTGTTTTCATATTATTTTGATGAATTGATGTTAAAAATAATTTTTAAAAAATAAAAAAAATATTATTTTGATATATTTTTAAATTAAAAATAATTTAAAAAATAATTACTATAGCACTTTCAAACACCTCTTGATAAGGTGTAATGAATTGTTATAAATTTTTGAGAAAATCTAATGAAGAATAATTTTAACTACTCATGATCATCACGCCATTGCCCATTGAGTGTCTAATTACTAATTTATTTATTTTTGTATTTTAAAAATATTGTTTTAAATTAATTTATTTTTATTTTTATCTTTGTTTCAAAATAATTTTTTTAGTATTTTATGATTGTTTTAATACATTAATATAAAAATATATTTTAAAAAAATATTATTTTAATATATTTATATGCATATAAAAACCATATTCATTTCGAATTAAAAAAAAAAAACATCTTGAATATATAAACGTCCATCCTTTTGAAGTTGGAGGGATAAAAAATATCCTAATTATATTTAAGAATATGCGACAAAACCCAATGCAAAGTGTCTTATCTAAATAACACACGAAATTTATTCTTTAAAACTTATGATTAGTATAAGAGTTTAATTATATGGTATGACTGATTAGTGTATTATTTATGCAAGTAAAACTAATTAAAGATTGGATTATAGTTGCCGATGTAACCGTGGAGATAGTTTTGAAACTATTTTTATTTCTCTTCTCTTTTCTTTGGTTGTTCTTTTTCAATAAAAATATAAACTATTCTTCAAAAAAATTTATAAAATTCATAATCTACAACATTAATTTTAATATTTTATGTTCGTGATAATATAATTAATTATAAAATATTAAATCTATACTTTTTTATTAGTTTATAAGAAAATAAATTTGACCAAATGTATTAATAAATTCTCTAGGACGTGATCTCAAGATTTAAATCTAAATTATAGAAGAAAAAAACATTTTAATGGTCACACCAATCCCTTAAAATTACCACACACTCAGCTAGTGACTAAAACATCTATAATCATAGAACATAGATTACACATGAATGTCCTCGCACGTGTGTGGGCCATGTTGAACAAAAAAATAAAATAAAAAAAGAGTAAAAAAAAAAAAAAGCCTAGTATAACATCTTAACAGTAACCAATGGAGGTTTAGTTAACCCTAGTTTCCAAATTAACCATGGTCGGGTCACTCGAAATCGCAACAGACCAATAGAGTATAGACACGACATGAGAGGCTTTTAGAAAATGCCAAAGAGCTTAATAAATTAGAATTAAGAAATAAATAACAATCATTAAAATCCTCAAAGAGTCGGCCCCCCCCCCCCTCCCAACACTCTGTTCTTTTCTTAACTCTCCATGGGCAGCCCAAGCCCACGATCTTTTCAAATTTTCACATGGTGAACAGCCCTGCCCGACCTGCCCTAGTCCTGACTAAGAAATTACGGGCAGTCAGTCAGTCAGTCACCCCACCCACACCAGTACTCTCTAGCTTTCTCTTTCTTTGTTTCTGAAGATATTTATTTTTATTCTATATCTTGTGGACTCTCTCTGTCTCTACGATCAAGATCCAACGGTCCAAAATGGATGGAGCTCTAAACGCTTGTATTTTCCGGTTTTAGACCCTGAAACCTTCAGATCTGCTCTCTGTGTGCTCAGATCTTCGTTCCTGGTATGCTGCACCTCTTTGACTCTCTTCCTTGCGTTTCAATTTCTCTGTATTTTTCGCTTCTTTTGAGCTCTGTTTTGCACTTTCTTACTGAAAATGAAAGTTTGTTCTGTTAATATCTTGTTTACTTGCCGTTTTGAGTTTTTTTTAGCTCTTTTTGCCTCAGTTCTCTAGTTTTCAAATGATTTTCGAGCAATTCCTCGTGTTTTAGGTGCCGTTCTGTGAAGTTTTGCTGGCTTTTGCTTCAATCCTTAAGGTTCCGTTGGATTTTAATGCGTTCTCCATTAAAAACTGGTTGTTCGACGTCAAGAACAACAAATTTTTTTCACTTGCTATGCAAACTTCCTGTTTTTTCTGCTCCTGTTACGATTTTCGTCAATAGCTAGCTTGATTTGGTGATGGTTTTTCATATTTGGAAGTTGTGTGTCGCCGACAAGGGATTATCATGACAGGAAGTGGTATTTTGTCTAATTTTGATTAAGTATCCACATGAACGAAACTCTTTTTCTTTAACATTCCTTCTTAGCACGCTGTGTAGCCTTTTTCGCTGTTAAACCCAACATTCTTTAATACACGAATTTTTTTTATAATTACGATTCAGTTTTTTTTTTTAATTTGTCTTTTGTGTTGCGTGAGATCTGACGGCTGAAATGGTTTCTAGAACAGATCTAACGGTTACGGATCCTGTTTGTGCAGGTGTTTTATTTATCTTTTTTCTTTTTCTTTTTTTGACGCACGCAAATGGAGGCTACGTACGGTTCAGTGACAGTTACTCTTACTAACGGCTTGTTAATGTGCGCCGGCGAGGTTTTGACTACTTTGCTTGTTTCTGCTCTCTTCAAAACCCAACTCCTCAAGGCTCTGGTAAGTTGTGTTATTATTCATTTTGTTATTGCTAGAAAGGGTTTTTCTAGCTTGCTGTCCTTGATGCTAACGGGCGCTTTTGCTATTTAGTACTTGATTTTTCTAACTGGGTTCCTGCTTTTTCTTTGGTCTCTGTTTGTGTTTTTAGTTTCTCTTTGGTGAGCGTGTTTCATGTTTAATTTTATGCTAACATGCGCCGAAGGCAGCTGGTTTTGGACCTTTGGTCTGGTATATGCCATCCACGTTGCTAACATGCGCCACAGGCCCTTTTTGTTTTTAGGGGTGTGCACATTTCTTAGGTCTGGCTTAACGTGCGCCAACCCTTAGGTGTATGTGGCATTATCTTGCTTTTTTGCTTTTGTATGCATGCTTTAGGCGAATGGGCGCACCGGCTTGGTTTTTAAAGGGTGTTTGGTAGTGAGTTTTAACTTCTTTTTGTTTGTTAAATCTGAATTCACCGGCTTGGTTTTTAAAGGGTGTTTGGCAGTGAGTTTTAACTTCTTCTTTTTTTGTTTTAAATTATGTTTTCAATATTCTTGTATTGTTTTGATATTCTATATCGAAAATAATATTTTTAATATTTTTGTATTGTTTTGATATTAAAAATAAATTTTTAAAAATAATTACCAGTAATGAACGGATCAGGACACACTTTGAGTTGTCGGTTTTGTTAGCAGGTGTGAGCCGGTTGGAATTTAAAAAATAAAATAAAAAATCTCTGTTTTTATTTTATTTTTTTTATGTAATGGGAAAAGTCAGGTCAAATGAGAAGCATCTTTTGATGTGGGATTGGCCGTGTTCGAATATTATGTTCGTGGTGTCTTACGTTATGTCATAGGAGATATAACTATTCCTAGACGACACGTGTTATTATTTTATTTCTTAAATTCTTATAAATATATAAAAAATATGTAATAATGATATCTTGATTATTTCAAGGTGATAAACCAGCCAGAGGAGGAAGGGTCTGCACTTTTTGGCATTTACTGTGATTTGTCTCTTCCAGTTATGTGTTTGCTTGCACGTTTTTGCTTGTCCCACTCCCATCAACTTGCTTTATTTTATTATATTATTCACCACACCAGCCTGAATCTTTTTTTTGGTAAGTTACCACACCAGCCTGAATTTGTTTAAATGAAACCAATAAAGTTTGAAATGGTCGAGACCCATTAAAATAAAGTGTGAAGTGGTTGAGGGTCGCTTGTTTTATGTCGTGGCGTAACCTGCTCCGAATCTTCTAGGATCCCCCTCCCGAATAGTCATAGGTGACGCCATTATTAGCATAATTGAGAAGATAAAGATGTGATGGTATAGTTGGTAATTGAGAAGATAAAGATGTGATGGTATAATTGGATTTTTTTTAAATATTTTTTTATTTAAAAGTATATTAAAACAATATTTTTTATTTTTAAAATTATTTTCTAAATTAGCATATCAAAATGATTTAAAAAATACAAAAAAATATTAATTTGAAATGAAAAAAATAAAAATAAATTCAAATTTTTTTAAAAACATTTTCAAAATGCAAAAATAAATAAATCCATTATTTTTATTAATTCGCTATTATGATACATGATGTAATCTTTTTACTGATGCTTTGAGTTTCTCGTGAGTGAGAAAAAGGTGTCCAAACAATGAAAGATGAATTATATATGGATTCTTGATTAGAGTAGTGTGGCCGGTGAAGAGATGTTTCTCTCGTATGTGAAGAGAACCTCGTTTCCCTTTCCCATTGTGGTTGCGGTATATATTCCAGTTGCACCGGGGTCATGTAGCTCTTTCTTTTCATAATAAGGAACAAAAAATTATATACTGAAAAAAAGGGAGAAACGAACCTGGTTCGCTTTTTCATGCGCTTTAATTTGTACTTTAGTGGCTACCTCTTTAAATGGAGGTACTTTAATAAGTTTATGGGCCTCAATGCCATCGGCTATTTGGTCTACCGCACTTTTTGATACCTTCTCATCACCCAGCTGAGAATGCAACTCCTATCTATTTACTTATTTTTTTAATTTACAATCTTTTCCCACATGCTTATGTTATTATGGGATTAAATAGGTGTCCTAAATTGATGTAGTTAGAAGTTGAAAAGTTTCGAAGGCCAATAGAAACAAAGAATGTTTAGTTACTGGTTGTTTTCACTTTCGAAATAAAACTTACAAAATGAAGCCAGCCTCTTTGATTTCCTAAATATATTTTTATTCTTCAAGTGGTGAAAGTGTTCCAAGGCTGGACATCGATTGCACGGGTAAAATCTTTTTAAGAGTTTTTTTATATGTTTGCTTGCTACATTACATGTCTACGCCGTTGCTGTCTTCTTAATATTTTGATTGTCATTTAAGAATTTGCGATGGTGCTTTTTAACTTGGCTCATTCTTGGGAAACTATATTGTATTACTATACCATTTAATGTACTAATTTGGAGACCTTGTGTCCAGCAATCTTTCATTGCCCATGATATACAAATTCTCCGTTTGACCTGCTATGAAATGCTATTTTGTAAAAATGGTTTCAGGATCCCAGTGGGTTGTTGCTGACTAACAAACCTAGAATGGACGGGGATGAGGCACAAGGCCATGACAAGCCAGTTGATGCAGAAGGAGATGATGACAATGATCATGATGACGACGATGAGGAGGAAGGGGGTGATGGATTAGGAGAAGGTGAAGAGGAACTGTCCTCTGAAGATGGAGGTGACTTGGGCAACAATCCCAACAATAACAAGAGTAACTCAAAGAAGGGTCCAGGTGGTGGAGCAGGAGGTGGGGCAGAAGAGAATGGAGAAGAGGAAGAAGATGATGATGAAGAAGGTGAAGGTCAGGATGACGACGACGACGACGAAGATGACAGGTGAAGGTCAGGATGACGACGACGACGAAGATGATGACGATGACGATGATGATGGTGGAGAAGAGGATGAGGAAGAAGTTGAGGAGGTAGAGAATGAGGACGAAGAAGAAGAAGATGAAGAAGCCCTCCAGCCCCCAAAGAAGAGGAAGAAGTGAAGTAGGAGAGTAGTGGAGCCTCCTCAGTCCAGATATACTGTTTGTTTCTCAGTGACTTGTTAACTTTGTCGATCTTCTTAGATTACGAGGGGGGCCTGTTTAGGATAATGGTATTATGCATAATTATCGTACTTTCCTTGCATGGTTAGAGTACACTCTAGAACTGTGAGCTGCTGCGGCAATGATTAATTCGAAAAATGTAATGATTATGATCTTTTAAGCCACATTTAATCAGAGTTTCTATTGTTGCTGATACGCTGCTGCTCCTTGCTAATGGGTTGGTTTTATGGACTGTCAGTAATAAATCTCAAAAGTAACCAACCGTTGCTAACCGTGAAAAAACAAGGTAAAAGATGGATAAAACTGGAGGGCAGAAGACGTGCTTATAGTTCATGCAGTTAATTGTTAATATAATAATGGCGATTTGTGTGTAGTCATAATCGTTATTAGCACCAAATTGGTTTTTAGATGCTAACTTGCAAATGGGTGTTGTTAACATAAAAAAAATTAATATGGAGGTAATTTTTGTTAATTTTTTTTTTTGTAAATTTAAAAACCATTTTCATATATAATTAACTAAATTAAAAATTATATATATTAATAAATATGCAAAAACAATTGTTAACGTTAACTAAACTTCAAATTATAAAGTTAAGAGATAAATATAATTAAGAAATATGATATGAGATCCTGTTGCGATTAAAGACTTTGTTTTGTTTTTAATTAACTTCTTATTTAATTGAATAATAATAAAGATAGATGTGTGCAGGAGACTATTTGATTAAAATTAGAAAAAAAAACAAATAATATATTGGGTGACAACTAATATTAGAAAAAAAATATTATAATCATATTTGAAAACCAATTAAAAACTAAAAGATATCTTATTGACTAATATAAAAAAAATCTCAAATTTATTTATTTTAATTAATCTCAATTAAAAAGGTTTGGGCATCTAACACTTACATTTAATCAATCTATTTAAACTAATTTAATATATAAAAAAGCTTTATGTGAGTTATTAGCCTGGCCCATTAGAACCAAAAGGCCACACATGCAAGCTTAAAAGGTAATGCCTGTGTGGCCTTTTATTTTTATTTTTTTATTAAAACTAGAGGAGCCCTTATTTATTTTGAAAATAAATTAAGATAAATAATGTATTACTTGCTGTGAAAGATGGTATGTAGTCTGAAAATATAGTTTCTAACCATGAAAAATATAGCTGAAAAATCAGGTTGGGGTTATTAAATTGAATCCCAAAAACTATTTTCAATATATTCTCATCTAAAAACATAATAAATAAATAAATTCTAGAAGCCTTACTAAACTCATTATGGCCTTAAATTAGCTCAAAACAAGATAAAGGCATAATGGGCCTTTTTTCCCAATAAAATTAAAGTAAAAAAATACACATTCATGAAACTATCATTGAATAGAATCTTTGATATTAAGATTATCTTATTTCATAATAGAAATTAGGTCAGCTAACAACTTTGTCTCTCCATTCTTGTTTTCCAATCATTTTTTTTTCTATCAAAACAAGAACTAAAATAATAAATAAAATGAATTTTAAAAAAAAAATAAAAATTATACAAACGAAGGGGATTAAAAAGAAATTGAATCCAAAGTAAGCGAACCTAAGTATACATTTACAAGATATTTAATACTGATAACTTATTTTCTTCATGTGTTACACTTTCATCATAATTTTTTTTTAAATTTCCTAATGCCGTAATAAATTATATGAAATTTGTCATTAATTTGAAAATGGAAGAATGCAATTGAAGAGCAAAAATTTAATGATTAAAAAAATTCACAAATTCCTTTACATCTTATCTTATCATCATAATCGGGTCAACCACCAACTTATCTTTTCTATCCTCGTTTTCTAGTTACTTTCTTTATTTTTTGTCAAATTAAAAATTAAAAATAAATAAAATAAATATTTAGATCAAAATGAAAATTGCAAAACCTAACAGCTTGTTTGTAACCAAATAATATGCTAAGTTCAATTCAATTTAAGAGCAAATTTTAATTTAATTGATAATTTATTACAATCCTTATATTTAAAATAAAATATTAAATCAATGAAATTTAATTATACTATTTGGAATGCATGTAAAAATAAGTTGAATTAACAATCTTTACTATTTTACTTTTAATTTATAAATTATTCTTGTTACATTAATTGTTTATTTGTTTGTTTATTTATTTATTTACTTTTGCTATAAGGACCTTAATATTTATTTAAAATGACATCAAACTCAATAGATTATGGAAAATTGATATAACAAAACTAAAGACAGTAAGAAACAAAGAAAAAGTATAGAAAAGGAGAAAAAGTAATTAGGAAATAGATTTTGATGAGGACATACAAAATTTATCATGCATAAACTAATTTTTACATGCTGATATATCTTAATTAAAAATAACATGCATAGAAAGATGATCAGCACATGATATTTTTTGCTTGAATGTGGTTTTGGAATCTAATAAATCCAATTTAACAGGCTAGAAAATCCTTAAAAACCCAAGTATTAAAAAACATGGGCTAAATAATATCTAATTATTCATATACTTACCCTCCAAGCTAAGCCTATAATATTTGACTCAACTTATTAACCAAACTTATTAGAAATAAGCCTAGACACCGCCTGGCCATCAACACTAAGCCTAATAACAATAGGTTCAAGTAGTGCATGTACCCAACACCAAGTGCTTATTGTCCCCAGCACTTCATGGGCTTAGACACATGTCCTTGTTATTTTTCACCCCTAATAGGTTCAGGCAACTTGCTTGAACTAAATATTTTTTTCAAAAAAAAATTAGAAACCCATATGAGTGTCTTCGTAATTTTTCAGGACCCTTAATATTTTATATTGATGTAATATGTATTATTTTGAGTGAAATACAACTCAAAATATGATATTAGTTTATAGGAGTGAAATAACTTTTTATTCTATTCTCTTTATAAAAAGACAAGACTCGTGAGTTATAAATACCACATGAATTCACAAAGTTTAAGGTTCACAATCTTTTTATTTTCAATATTTTTAGCATATATATTTTCAAAGTCTATTGCTATAAAAACTATTGCTATAAAAATATTAACTTAAGCATCTAAAAATCCTTACATCCATAAAAAATGACCTTTTGCAAATACCAACTATAAGCTATCTAGCTTACCAGGTATCAACTTCCAGACATATTAATTAGAGAGAATAAATTAGATCGATAGAACTAAATGATTAACCTAATATTTAATGATATAAGCTTTATTTTTAAACAAGTTCAGTTT